TTTTACGAATAATTTCTGAATTTTATTATCTTTTTTAGTATCTATGTCCATACTTGTACCGTAGGTCAGTATGAACAATATTTTGCTTCATTTATCCAAGGGGGGTCTTCTATTATGGGGGGGTCTTCTAATATAGGGGGGATCTTCTAATGTGTCGGTGGCTTTACGTCAAAATATTCTATTAACATATAGAAACAATCTATCAATCACTCTCTCATGTTTAAATGAAATTAAACTTGAACAGTCTTGAATGAGTTTAGATAACAACACATTGATGTTTATATGGAATCAATTATTCAGCTATCATCTTGCTCATTCTTCTCATATCAACATGAATGACTTAAAAAAAAGAGATGATGAAACTAATATCAACGATTTTGAAAAGTATTGTACAAACGGTAATGTATTAGAATGGTATACAAAAGATTCATTCGTCTATCGACTTTTGAATAAAGCATTTCGAAAGCGAAATATTCATTTAATTTGCAAATTTCGATATGTCATTATACTTCTATATAATAAGTTAAAAGATTATGGATACAACAAAAAGAAGCAAATAATACGAGTGTTTATCGGGGACAATGTCTCGATAATACTGATCTGAAAAATTTACAGTCAAATGTCGGGCGTCTGATATCAATAAACACGTTTATACTAACATCACGCAATAAAGACGTTACCTATCAACTTGTAACAGATGCTCCCGCCCAAATAATATTCAAAAAAACCATTGTGAATGCAAGTAATAATGTCCTCCATCCATTTGTTGATATTTCTCAATATAGCTCAAAAAAAAACGACGAAGAAATTTTATTCTTTGCTGGAACAGTTTTTCATGTTGATTCTATAAAAAGAGACAACAGCTCAATATGGACTGTCAAACTTACCATTTAGTAACGAAACTGTTGACCAGATAGAATAACTAGTGAATGTTGTGAAACAGAGACCGAAAACGAACCGAACTCGAGCCACTTCTAAAAAAACCCAACATTGAACTGAACCAAATCTCACTAATTTTTGAAAAGTGAATGAATATAGACAAGCACGTAAAAAAAATAATTGACTGAGCTATAATATTTTTTTGTGAAATTGTGATGCTGTTAATGATTATCAAACGGCGTTTGATCTATCGCTTTACATGAGGGACTAGTAATGATCAATCTACATTTACAAAAATTTATTAAACGCAGAAATAAACTACTAGTGAATTAAATTTAAAATTATTTCGCATAAGAACTTAAATTTATTTTAAATTTAAATCGAATTTGCATAAATTTTAAAAAATTTAAATAGATCTAAGCTATATCTAAATATGTTTTAAGTAGTTTAAGTCCCACTTTAATTAATTTAAATTAAATTTGAATTTGTATGATTATCTATAGGAATAAAAGAAACCATTTATCTCTCAAGTCTGCTATCAAAGATATGTTTATGAATTATTTTAGCATTATTAGAAAATAATAGAAACTGAAGACGGCCACTCTTTTAAGAAATTTTCTGAGGTGATGATGGGATTTTAACGTATAATATCAGTTTTTCTCCTTATTTCTGATCTACTTTTTAAAGTCATACATTTTGACAATCGAGTTGGCGAATTTAGATTTACAAAAATTTATTAAATCAAGAAATAAATTCTAAAAAATTTAAATTTAAAATACATTTATATTAGCAAGAATTTGAATGTAGATTAAATTAAGAGGAAAATGCCATGCCTATCAGGGACTGAAAGTGAATCGAACCGAGCCGAAGCCGGACCAGTAAAACTCGGTTCGATTCGGTCTCTGTTGTGAAAGACCACTTAACTTATACAACACTCTCAGATTACTTAAATACGAAAGCACATCATTTAAACCTGTTCGGAAAATATTATAAAATATTCACAGGTACATCAAATCCGTGGAACAATATATCTAGAGATGTGAAAGGGTGTGAATGTGGTTGTGTATATGAGCCTTTTATTATGCACATCCAGATCCACACCTACACCCCACATCTATCCTCTTTAACGGTTGTGTAAAATTTTGAAACTGAAGAAGATTATATTTGTCAGGTTGGATATATCATTCTGTATAGACTCACTCGGTAAATATTTTGGAGAAAAGTCAAGTCTAACCAACGAATGTACAGGAATGACAATGAGAAGCCATTCACTCTACCATACCGATTTCTTTTTTAATTTTCGTTTTGTTTGATCAATCTCGAAGATTTAGGACTCATCTCTCATGTTCAAGTCAGTCAACTCACTGTTTTTTTAATTTTTATGGCATGTTTCAACAAATCAATGTTAAAGAAGTACGTTTCACATGAATAGATAATTCATGCAGTGAGAGCAATTATAATTGAGCAAATATTTATTCATTCCAATCGATTTTGTATTGATCAATAAAACGGAATCATCGAAAAAGATTGTCATCTTAGTTGATTATTGAAAGACAAATGATCGAATGCTTTCCTTTGAAAAATAGTTTCAGATTGATGACAGAATTCTTTCATAATTGTGACATTCTTTGTTTATACTTTCTGAAATTGCCAACTGAGAATTTTTCAATAGGACAAGATTGTATCAATCTTGAGTACTGAAGTTTATTTAGTACACATATGAGCCAATCTGATTAGTTTTTGTCCTGCATTCTATTGCACTGCGAAATGTTCGAATTAAACCTGTGAACTAAGGTCTCGATTGTTCTGTTTTTTCTGCGTTCAAACAATTTTTATCTCTCGATTCATATGTCTGATATAACGAGCGTGTGTGACTATGAAAAGAACACCCACACCCAAAGTTCTGAAATGAATTATTCAACTCTATAACATTATCTAATGAATAATTATTTGAAACAGATCCAATTTTCAGAATCATATGAACAATTCTCATACCTTAACTTGAAGAAAAAATCTATATATTGCAAAATCTTTATCATTTGTATTGACCATAAATCAATGTACAATACTCCCTGATGTTGTTGTCAGTTAAACATTAGAATAGCACACAGAAATAATTTTACATTTTGCGATTTATGAAAAATGGAAAGTCTTTAGAAAAGAAATATAAAATACGTATATCACATTCAGATCGAAAACCTTCCTAACATATTTCTTAGCTAATCTTGGAATTAGAAATGAATCTAACTATTCAAGTAATTCAAATAAAAGTAGCACAAAATATGACATAACAGTATAAAATCATTTCAAAATAACTGAGATGTTGTTTTTTTGATTAAGAATATCTGTTGAAAAGCTAATATCGACTTTTAATAAGATGAATTTTTCGATGATGGCTTTGACTAATTTTTTTTTTAAATTTTAATAGAAATTTCTTGTAATAAGACGACGAATCTGTTCTAAAATATTGTGAGCCAATGCACTAAGCGAAGGCGAATTATCACTACGATATGGATTCACTGTCTCAGAACATGCTAATTACTAAGATCTTGACTATGTCTTATGAGGTGTAGTGATAAAATAAAAGAGACACATGAGACTGCCTTAAACACCAGAAATAAAACAGTAGTAGCTTGTGAAATAGTAATATGACCAATACTATTTGAGTACATATTTCCGCTGAAGAAAATGTTTCAATCATAACTCCAGCATATGTAATCGACACGTGTACAACAGGCTTCATTGCCAGTTAAATCAATGGTTAGAATAATAATGTTAAATTAAGAAATACGAAACAATGAGACAGACCGCTTCACTGACGATCGATTGTCCTTGGAAAACAACAATAGTCTACGAAAGATTTTTCACTTAACGTATTTTGTATGAGTATAATAAATCCAAAGAACACACGTCAGTTCCACCTTGTAGCTCCAAAAGAACTGCACTGACAAACTTTTAAATTTGCTTTATAGAAAATTTGAATCTCTTTTGAGAATGAACCCTACAGACATTTGTGTTTTAAATACACTTGTTTATCATAGTCTAGAAATCTAATTACGTTGCTGATGTATTTTCAATAGATATATTGATTTGTTTCCTATCTTATAAATACACTTTATTACATAAGTATTATTTGATATTTATCATGTCGAAATTTTCTTTTAATGAAAGACAAATATTTTTTTTTATAAATATTATTTTTATATCAATATTAAGTTACTGTAATAAATTTTCAATATGATATTTTAATGTATTTGGACGCCACTTTGTTTGTTCATCATTTGTAGAAAAATTGTACATTGATGAATCAGTTTTAAAATCTTGTTCATTATTTAATGTATAGGAAGACATTCGACTAAATGATGATAATTGATGACATATCAAATTCGATGATGTTTGTATTGTTGATTCTTCTTAATAATACAAAAAGTAAAAAAACAGAAATTCAAAAACAGATTAAAGTCACCTGCATTTTTATTGGTGACAATTATTGGATCATGTTTTAAATTTGAATCATCATCATCATCGTCATCACTTGTTTGAATGTCATTTACAATTGTTGTTTGTTTTTTTGTTGCATCAACAAGTATCTTTTGTTTCTTTCGATATTTAGCTCGTCGATTTTTAAACCATACCTAAGTAAAAAAAAAAAACAGATTTTCTTCTTTTGACATAATTTTTAAATGAATACTTTACTTGAACACGAGCTTCAGGTAAATTTGTATAAAGAGCAAGTTTTTCTCTCATAACAACATCAGGATAATGAGTTTTTACAAAACATCTTTCTAATGCATGTAATTGTTGACTGGTAAAAGCAGTGCGAGAACGACGTTGTTTACGTGGATGACGAGAATCAAGAAGAAATTCTAGAATTTATTTCTCATGACATTAAAAACAAAAAAGAAAATTTTATTTTATCAATACCTGTAAATCGATCAGGTGATCCATGAAAAAATGGAAACGTTGCCATAACATTAGTATTTACTGAAGGTATAAGTGGATGAACAAATGATGATAATGATGGATATGCTGGGACGGGATAGTTTGATATATAAGGATGCATGTCTTCTTTTTTTGAATATTGTGCTGAATAATCGATAGAAAAAAAGTTAATCACTATTCGACTGACTGATCTTCTCCTTGTACGTGTGTGTTCGCTTCTTTGTTTTCTCTCTTCTAATTCTTTACTATAAATCCGTTGTGCAATTAAAATTATTCGATAACATTTTCTCGGATCTCGATGATGCGCCGAACGTGCCGTCATTTATATCATTTCATTCACATACATTGTCATTCTTTCAATCATTCATTGACCATTCTACTTGAAAATAAATGATCAACAACAACTAAACATCCTCTTGATAATGTTGTCATTATTATGTAACTGATTTCTATATGAATGACAAGCACGTGTGACAAGAGGCTCAACTTTTACTGTTTCTTTTTTTTTTGACAATTGACAATTACACGTGTGCTTGTATAGAGTTCTCTTCCTTTTTCTTTTTGCTGTTATTGTTCTTTACAATTAATCCAAGAGGAGAAAGAATATGTGTCCTCTCTATTATCGATAATCCTCAAGTGTTGTTTGACACGTTTTGTCAATAAAGAAACAAGAGATTGTTTTGACTTATTGAGATATATAGATATATATATACATATACGACATGTACAAGAGATAGAAGATTTTCATTTATAAATAAAGGATAAGAAAAAAAAGCTTTTTCTTCTTCGAAATCTTAAGAATCTAAATCACGAACATTTACTTTAACATTTAGGTATTTAGAATGAAAGTATCTAAATCGAACAAAAAGAAAATAGGTTTATGGTGACCCAAAATATTCTCGTGATCTTTCGTTTCATATCAAATGAAAGTCTATTAAAAATAATATTATCATATAAACAGTTCGAAAATAATTTTGAATTTAGAATTAATACTAAAAATGAATATTAGGACATACACAGATTTGAAAAAAAAAGCATCTTTCGAACAAAAAAAAAGCTACCAGACACATAACTCAACATTGGAGGCAGTGTGGGTATAGAATGTTCGAGTTCCAGCAAAAGGAGCACCACATGGACGATTTTTATAAGCAGAGATACGTTACGCCTCACACAAGTTACATTGTTGAATATAATAAATATTTTTAATAGCAACACAATTGTTTGATATTTGATTGAAAATATATTTATCCTTGAAATATGACAGTAGACTTTTTCTAAAATAATGCCCGCAGGACTCTGAGTAAAATACTTCAAATATACAAATATTTTTTAATCAGTTAACGAACAGTTTTGTCCTAATGAGGAAACTCATTCGATTGAACTTATCTATTGCTCATAGATAGGACTCATACCACGTAGATAAGAGTACACAAAAGGATTTGTGCAATTCTACTGAATTTTAAGTCTATTGCAGGACATTACGAAAAAAGCTGCAATGAGGAAAATTTTCGCCTGAAATTAATCATAACAATAGATCATATAATCTTTTGAAATAAATTAAAAAGTATTTCGACGTTCTTCGAAATTTGTTGAACTTTTCTGCATCTTAGCACTCATTCCTCAAGTTCATCTCCTTTTTTTGTTGTTGTATACTTCAACAACTAGCAGGTGAGTTTCTTTTAATGTTTGAACATTTATTTGATAAAATAGCAAATCATTAACTTTATCTGCATTCAAACCTGCTCTTCCTACGGTATTATGTTGCCAATAATAGACAGTTGCATTCAAAATTATTCATACATTTCATAGACAATAAAGATAAATAGGGACAGTTTATGATGTTGCATTGCGCAAAATATTAAAATTTCTTCGTTAGAAACAGTTTCGACATTGAAAATAATGATATGAATAAAACACAAAGTTGTTCAATATTATAAAAATTGTATGAATATTTTAAGTCAAGCTAAAACACATGACTTCTCTTCTTTTTTATCAAATTTTTCACTTTATGGATCAAATTGAAAAGTTAAATCAGTAGACTATACAATCTTACTGCTAAACATTTCAGTGACGAATGTGAAGAGAGATACTGTTGACAATTACTCCTTCCTTTCGAACTACTGTTCGATTTTTTTTCAGGAGAAAGTGTCCAAAAATGAGTTGATACAATATATAATTTGACTTGAAAACACGTTTTGTGACTATAATGGTTCCAATTCATTTCTCGGTCAATATTCCCCGGATCAGCTACACTCGTTGATGTCTTCTGTTGATCTGATCAATTATTATAGGTAATGTCCTAGAATTAAAGTTTTATATTCCTTTATAATATATGCTTAGAACTTTTCTATAACTTTTAAGGTACAAATAAATCTTAGCAGAATTCAAAATATTTTTTGGAGACACAAAATCTTATATTTTTCTGAAGACAAGTCTACTTCAAATAAGTACTGTAAATATATAGTATGTGAGAGTGATAATGACGAAAGAATGGAGAGTTTGGGTTAATCTACTAAAAAATGGCAGAGTCTTGACGAAACCTCGTTTTGTGCTGAAAAGGCGAAAATCGTAAAAATAGTCAGGATTTTCTGACAGGTCTGTAACAAGTTCAATTTCAGATTTTTCCTTCGAAAAAAAAACAATTTTTTAGACTTTTCAAAATTCACTTATAGCTTCACAGTCAAAAGTCACAGAAAAATTCTTAGCAGATATTCTGAAAAATGGCGTTGTGCTAGTCTGTCGAGCATTCATCACTGGGGTCATCTTATTGTCGAAATTAAGATGCATTGCTTTCACATCAAACTGAAGTTATAAGCGTTGATATATAAGGGATTCTAAGAAACGAAAAAAAGATCATTTTCATTGTTTTACTCATATTGTCTTCATTCTTCATCCGTTTTGTTTGAGCAACATTGTACTCCACAAAACGATTATAAAGATTTTGAGAAAAGGTAGGAGCGCATTATTCTTTGGACATAAGTTAGTGCCTTTTTTACTAGTATTTAACAGATTTTTCGTTAAATATTTTTGAGAAAGTTTTTTTCATCAAAAAATTCACCTGTATTCATTTTGATCAAAACATAATTTTTCCAAGCAAAATCTGTTAAATACTTTCCGTTGCTGCGTGTCTCTCAAATTTTAACACTTATAACTTCATCAAATTAAATCACAGGAGTCGAAAACTTTTTTTTATAATTCTAGTTTCATGAAATATAGTCAAATATATTGTGTTCGAAAGCTTTCAGTTCATCTCTTTCCGTATTGTCGATCTATAGAAGAGTCAAGACATTTACTGTATAACATCCGTTAAATCATTATCACAACTTTTATAATAGAAATTTTCCGAAAACAAAAATATTATTCTAAAATGATTATTATTATATGCAAATACTGGCTAAAAATAAAGATTTATTGTAATTGCTTTATAAATAAATAATCTATTTACCTAATAGACTTCTTTCAATCAAATTCATCGATTTATTTATATTCTTCATGTTTTTTTTTTCACAATCACTTACATAATTAAATTCAATCATTCAATTTTTTTTTTCTATATTCTCTTAATAATAAAAAAAAAAAAAGAAATCTTCGTTCGTCAAAAATATCATTAACTTTCGTATGCATGCATTGACACAAGTTATACTAGACAACGAGTGCTTCACTAAGCACCATACATATTTCCTGTTCTTCTCTTGCTTTTTCTTTTTTTCTTTTTCCTTATTCTTCATTATTCGTTCTCGAAAAGTACAATGTACTTGTCCCATTATCATCATTATTATTATTCTTGAATGAATAGTCTATACAATAACATTCTTGGCTTTTTCGTCATCTATTCTTACTGATTTTTCTTATAGACAAACTCATTCGAATTGAGTTCATAAATCACTTTGCATATCCGGATTGTTCATACAATGAACAACATTTTGATAATTAAGTACCGGATGCTATTCTTTCGTCTATTGAAACAAATGTTATAAGAATCGGAAAAAAAAAAAGAGAAAAACTTTCTCATTGGATAATCCATGGCTTTTTTTGACATTGTGATTGGCTAGAGTAATGAAAGAAGAAGAAAAAAAGAAATCACAAAATCAAACTTGATCTAGTCTATTTTTTACTGATCATACACATTTGAAGAACAGTAGATCACAATTATGATAGTCATATCAACACGATCAGCAGCATTTATGATTGATAATTTATTATCATCAACAGTTAATAATAATAAAAAGAAAATAATTGAAACTGATTCAAATGTAAGTTTATTCAACTTAGATCATTTTTTTTTTCAGAATTGTCTTTTATTCTTTTTTTTTTTTTTGTTTCAAAGATTCAATCATCAGATAATTATATAAACAATAATCGACGTAAACGTAAATCATGGACATGTGATGTATGTGGCAAAATGTTTGATCGACCTTCACTTTTAAGTCGACATACACGAACTCATACAGGTTCGTAGGTAACATTAATTTTCATCGGTCATTCAGGAAAAAGAAAATGACTCGAAAAACTAACGAAGGAATGGAGACAAGTGTTTATCGAGATTGTTGATCAACTACGATTGAAAGATTTTCTTCAGTCGATGCTTCGTTGAGATGTATTACTCTTTTTTATCGATTGCATGATTGTTTCATGTGTTCTTTTAGAATTGACTCATTCTTACTTCAACTATTTCGAAGTAATCTTGTAACACGATGTGCTGTTTCTCGACGACGTTCTCTTCTAATGTTTTGTTTTTCTTTATGTCAATACTTTCTTCGCATAATTTTTTACAACAAATCTATGTTGCTTTCAAAAAAAAAATACTCTGAGAATATACATTCAATCTTTCTGTCACTGAGGTATAGACACCATCGTAGATGGAAATAGAATCTACTTTATTACTTTGTAAGAGTGAATTTTCAGTATAATAACAATAGAATACTTATGAGAAAAACAATTTCGTCAGTAGATGGCAATCGACGCTTTATCACTTTATTGTGAAGCATAGGCGGCGTAAATTAAACTCTCAAAAGGAAGCAATAAATTTTTTTAAATTGGTAATTAAAAAAAAATACATTTCAGTTAAATCTGTTACGTTAATCGATTTCTTTGTTTTCAAAATATGTTTTTTTTTCGATATGATTAAACTTATTTGGAAAAACAAAATGCTTGAAATTCTATATCTGCTTTTGACATAAAGATATTGTTGTTTGCTTAAGAAGTAAGAATTGTCACATGCATTACATTTGACTTGTTTCAGATGGTTAGCTAATAGATTAGAAGTTAATTAGATAATTGTAGAAGAACAATAAACAGAGAAGACTGATAAGCATTTTCTTTCTATTGTGAATAACAAAATTAATCGATCTTCAGCTTCTTTCATAATTCAACAGAAGAGTAAGATTGTTTTTTTTTCTATTGAATTTAGAACAAATGTTTTTTACCATCTTTTTACTTAATCTTCTAGGAATGCAGTAAATCTTTGATCGTATATCAACAATGTCCCTCATGGTCTGTGTGAAGCGCATCCAAATTTCTATCTTATATAATTCAGTGTTGGTTTTAGATCGTGTTTGACAAAAGAGGGATTCAGAAAACCACTGTTGAAGAAAGATTATTTTGCTAGGAGTTGACGACCTTCACTTTACCACTTCATCTCCTCTTGAAAACTGATTTTGTTCGCAAAGACATATCCGATCTACAATGTCGAGTTATGCAATCATTTCTCCCACTACTATCACCCTATTCGATCAAATAATTATAACGCTCATGAACATGACAAATGTTTTTTATTTATCATTTCAGGTGAAAAGCCACATGTATGTCCAACATGTGGAAAAGCATTTTCAACATCATCTTCTTTAAATACTCATTGTCGAATACATAGTGGAGAAAAAGTAATGTACTTAAAATGAATGTTTTTTTTTTTCAAGTTTTGTTTATTTGTTTTTTAGCCACATTCATGCGAAGTATGTGGTAAACGTTTTACGGCTAGTTCAAATCTTTATTATCATCGAATGACACATACAAAAGTATAAAGAAGTTTCATTTTTAATTTGATAAATAAATAAATAAATAAATATTCTAGAAAAAACCTCATAAATGTTCTTATTGTGATAAGACATTTGCAACACCAGGTGATCTTCGTGGTCATACACATATTCATCAAGGTACGTGGCCATTTCGTTGTACTCAATGTTCAAAAGGTTTTTCAAAACAAACAAATCTTAAAAATCATTTATTAACTCATACAGGTATTGTTAATTGTTCCTTTTCATTGATTCTTTTTGTTTTTGTATTAAAAAAAAAAAGGACGAAAAGATCATAAATGTGACATATGTGGAAAATTATTTTCTCTTCATTGTAATCTAAAATCTCATCAAAAACTTCATCGAAATTTACAAAGTTAGTTCGTTTTGTTTTTTTGTTGATAAATAGTATTTGAATAAAGAAAATTTCGTTTTTTAAAGATATTCATGAACAAGATGAACCAACATCAACAACAAATGATATAACTCCAAATCAATTTTTTTCAAATAAATTTTCTGTTGAACTTCTACAATTATTTACTTCTGTTCGATCTTATTCGTAATCTTCTAGTCAAAAAAAAAAACACATACACACAACAACAACAAAACGTTCTTTCTTTTTTTTTTCTTTTTAAATAAAAGTTTCGTAGTTGGTTAGTTGAATATTTAATTCCCGCTACATTTTAAACAATCTTGCATTAATCTTAAATGACCTGTAATTGGATTTAATTGTTCATTTGTACCAAATAAACCAACACATGTAATTGAACCACTTTCTATTTCAGTTCGTCCAGCATCTTTAATAATTGATGTAGTTATAGATGAATTTGCTCTAGCACGAGATTCAATATCAAGTAATTCTTCAGTTGATTTACCACGAACAACAATTTTTGTTTCACCATATTCATGCCAATAATTTA